GTATATGTATGAATGCATCTAATAAATGAACTTATTTTATTCCATTAAGTGAAAGTGAACATTATCCATCTTAGTAAGTATGCAATTTATTTCAATTCTCAAGAAATTTCTTGTTAAAGAGAGCTAAACATGAAGTATTATCCCAGTTGTTTATGAACAAAGATGAAAATTGCATCCACAGTAAAGGAGACAGGAGATTCTAATTCTTTACTTGGTCTTAGCCAAAAGGCTGAGAGGTGACAGAGATTCTAATTCTAAGGCAAGAAACAATTATGTATATTTTGGCAGCTCCCAAACCATTATATAAGCATTAAAGGATGACCATGGAGCATTTGGCAAATCTAAGAAAAATGAATAACAAAATAATGAAAATAGTTCTACTGAGACACAAAAAGATTTTATTTTGGTGTTTCTTGAATTTCAGTAAATATTTTCACTTTGCCGATGGTTCTTGTTTTATTATCTTGCCTTTTCCCAAGTCTATTTATTCTATTTCTTATCCACTTCATAGGCATCTGGGTAGGCTTGTTTTGTTTATCCTCTCCCCAAACCCTGTACTCTTGAGTGCATATCTTATGTTTTTAATACAATCCAGTAACTAATACCTTTGTTTTTTTAGCTAAATGCTCCTAAAGCCATGTCCTAGGACTTGCTGAAGTTTCTACAACATCCACACAGAGAACATCAGGAATGTAGCTGGAGAAAAGTTGGTAACTATTGCCTTTAGATTAGAAAACAATGACAATTCTCAAGAAAATAAAAAGTGAACATCTGAGCTTATCACCTGGTATGTAGAAGGGGCTCAAAATGTTAGTGTTTCCTTTGCTGGATCAGAGAAGTTGAACACTGAAAACAAGAAACTGGGGCCCCTTCCTCTGACTTTTTCTTCCCTTTCTCCCTTCAAAAATGTTTTATTGAGCACCTGTGCCAGACACCTACCATACTAGGATGAATAAGATATGGTTACTGTTCTCAGGGATCTGTCACTTTAGTGAAGACAGATTATCAGATAAAGACTATGGTGTCTTAGCTGCTATAATTGAGGTAATCTGGGGCTAGTTTGGAAACACAGAGGATGGGACTTAATTTAGACATGAAGAGTCACAGAAGACTTCCTGTGAAGGATGTGACATGTAAGTTGAGCCCTGAATGACAAATAGTTGACGGTAGGGTGGCAGTGGTAGAAGTGTGCATTCGTGGGTAGCCAGACACAGAAGCCTATTAGGCTTTAGATATAAAGATTGAGATCCTTAAAAATTTATGCCTAGGTCCACACAGTCTTTTATTTATAAATGACTCAAAGCAGCCCCTCTGTAAAGTACAACAGCAGAAGTACAGAGTTAACATCATCATTCTCCAGTCATGCTTCCTTGAAATACAGCCCATCCTAAGTTATCAATGATCCAAACTCCATCTTCCTCATCATGTCTCTTTATAACTCTGCTTGGACAATGTCTTAAATCATTTGCTTATTTTTCATACATAAGTACTGAGAGAGGTATTGTTGGTTGTAGTGTATAAGGCAAGACTGCCACTAAAGGAACACTATGAAGTATATTTCTTCATTGTGTATAACTTAGCATAGAACAGGAACCTATTCTGTTTTGGAATCCAGTGAAATCTCATTTCATTCTTGCTATTTTTCTCATGTAATGTTATCATACTCCATTGTTAAAAAAAGAAGGAAATAATTACTTCATATATTTTTAAAAGTCTATTTAAAAAAATAATAAAACATTAAATTTCCAAAACTTTCAGCTATGGTATCAGAGCACAGAGTTTTCATTCTTCTGATAATAATTATGGAATTAAAATTGACCTCATTTCTTATATTTACTAATATTAGCCTTGATTAAGAATAAAATGGTATAGTAGAATTCACCTGGTTTTCAAAGAGCAAGAATTGAGTACAATATACTTTAAAAATTTGCCAACAATAAATTATAGTTGTTTTTCAAATATATTCTGCTTTATAGACATTGTTTGTAGAGGTCTATTTTACATACTCAAAAAATCCTTTTCTCCTTCTACTTAATGATTCCACTTTGTGAACAAAGATGAAAATTCAAGTCTATTTATTTGACTACCTTGCTTCCAGAAAAGAGCACAAAAGATTTCTGATTGAGCTTTGTTCACGATGAATGAGATGGGAGGTGATATTGGCCAAAAAAGCCAAGGCCATGAAGAGCCAGAACATGAGTTTTGAAGTTAGAAGATTCTAATTCAACTCTTAGTTCTTTCCTTAATAGCCCTCTTTTCCTCCTCTAGACAACAGAAGTAATAATCATGGCCTCTCAAAATGTTTTTAAGATCTAAGTCCTTTGTAGGATATAAAACATTGCAAATATACAACAATCCAGTATAATTAGTAGTGATGTAATAGTGTTTTCCTAGGAAAATGTAGACAATGACTTTCATGAAATTTCCCTGAGTAGTCTATCGGGTAAAGTGGATACTAGAATGGAAAAGCCTATAGGAAAAGGATTAGAGTAATTTAAATTGCAACTCACAGTGAAAAAAACACAGGTCACCCAATGATCCTATAAATTCATTTCTTACAAGATGATAGAGGGTTCTACTTGAAAAGACTTAATTTTTAATATACTACCAGAAGGGCTCTCTAATAGATTAAAATAATTATTTCATGTGGTTCTTTGCAGTGTTCTTTATCTAAACCAAATAGTATGTTTATTTGAAAATTATACCTTTATATTCTTCCAAGAAGAAAAAAAGATGAACTTCTATTAACAGAATTCTTCTTTGGGTTTTCTCAAATGTATCATAAGATTAATTGCTATGTACAATTAACCAAACAAAACGTTCTGTTAGTGCATCTGTAACGCCTATGTAATATTAACAACCCATTATGAAACTGTATTTTTATCTTAAAAGATCATTTATAAAAGTATTCTCTCCATTTCTGTTTCACAGTTCTTAAAAAGAGAGGTAGGAATAAGACATTTTGATAATAAAAAAGTGACTTACAGAACAGTGCTAATCATATGATTGCAGTTGTAGAAAGGCAACTGACTGAGCAATTAGCTATGTGCATAATATATTTCCAGAAGCAGGCTGGAAGGATGGACACCAGCTGCTGACCACCTTCCTCTAGTGAAGAGAGTAAGCGTCAGTGTAGGGGTAGAGAATGGTAACTTTATGTCTTGAATGCTAATGTTTTATTTGAATCTTTGAAATAAGTGTTCATGTATTATTTGTGCTAAAAACAAATACAGAATCACAGTAAGAGTCATTTAAGGCTACCCATGCCATCAACACCTCCTGACAGCAACTGGACATCAGCAGTGGCTATAAATACTGCCTTCCAAAGGCACATTGATTAAAACCAAATACCTAGAAAATGTTCTTTTGGAATGTATCACACGTGTTTCAATAGAGGATACAACAGGCATGTTTGAGCTCAAGCTCTTTGAAATGGTATCACTGGTGCTTTGGGAGTGTCACTCCCTATGGATTAATGGGACCAAGGCAGGCATGATTTATCCTACTGAACTGCTTTATTGCTCTAGAAACAATGTTCACTCTTTTATGCCTCTTTTAAAAAACAAAAAACTGCCAGGCTCGGTGACTCAGCCTGTAATCCCGTACTTTGGGAGGCCGAGGTGAGTGAATTGTCTGAGCCCGTGGGTTCGAGACCCGCCTGGGCAACTTGCCGAGACCTCATCTCTACAATAAATCAAAAAAATTAGCTGGGCTTGGTAGCGCGCGCCTGTAGTTCCAACTACTTGGAAGGCTGAGGCGGAAGGATCGCCAGAGCCCAGCAGGTCAAGGCTGCGCCGGGAGCAGCCACTGCACGCCAGTCTGGGTGACAGCGTGAGACTCCAATTCAAAAAAAACCAAAAAACAAAAAACTGTTTGACTTGTCTCTGAAAAACCCAAAGAAGACAAAAACATTCAACTTTTTACTCACTAAGTCCAGACCAGTGCTCTGTAAAAAGTTGGCTGGTCCCCGACCCCCTAATTACCTTACGATACTAAGCCCTGATAGAAGGCCAGTCAGCAGATTTTATCTGCAACCCTTAAGGAAAAATTCTCTTGCTGCTTTCACTTCATACAGAAGACAAGTTTGCAAATGGAAACATTTGGCAGTACTTCAGATGCTCGCTGTCTGGTGGTGTTGATAATGCAATTTTTTTTTAATTACAGCAGCATTTATAATGCTGTGTCATTCATATAGACCATCATGCTCCAACCGACTGTATCAATTCAGCAGACATAATTTATGCAATCACCCAAACTGTTTAACCTTTTCTTTTAAGTTCAAAAATCTGGCTACAGACTGATTTTATACTGAATTCTATTGTGAAAGATGTCATGTTCCATTTGACATGCCTACAAAATGTTTTTCATTCAAATAAAGTCAGCTGACCTGAATGAAGAACATTAGTTAAATATAGGTAATTCACTAACATGTATCATATGTTTTAAAGGGAATGTCAAAGTATCATGCAGACAACTAATACATAGATTTAAAATGAGTGTTTTTATTTTTGTTAATAGAGTCAGAATCACGTAATCCACAATAGCCCCCAAGTAAAAATTCTGTTTGTGTAAGAGTCACATTTTATCTAAAATATCTCCCAAGTAAAAATGCACCCAAAGAGATAAATCCTACAGTCATTTTTTTTTCTTTTCAGTAGAAGAGAAAAATCAATGTGTCTTGGTATCTCTAAATTGTGTTATTGAGCATGTGAATAGCATCCCAGAAATGATACATGTTTCAAAGTCACTGAAAATTCTATCAAAATTGAGCAATGCAACAGGTGAATAGTTGTCCATGAAAATATTTGTATAATCAGTATGCTGGTTATTGCTTCGACTAACTCCCATGGGTGAAGCATCATCTCCCATAGCACAACTGAGCAGCATAACCAATATGTGGTTGAAAATCACACACTTTGGAAACAGGCTGCATCTATTGTCTATTCACACATGTAATGAGAGAGACTGAGGAAGGCACAAATAAAAATACATTTACTCACTGTGTTAAAATTTGGAAAGAGCCCCACAGCAGAACTACTGTCCACTGGAAAAGACATAAATGGTTTGATATCCAGTGATGGCTGCATCATCAGGGAAGGTGTGCGCACAAGAGCAGGAAGGGTAGTAGTGTGGCATGTACTGCCTGCCAAGAACAAAACAAAAATGAATTCAATCTCTCGCTCACATCCATCTCTCTCCCAAACCTACAGTGCAACAACAAGATCAACTGAGCTGCAACCTGTGAGCAAGACAGTTATGTGAGAAATAAGCAAATGCAATTATGTGAGTAGCAAACACAGTTAAAAAGGATCTTCCTTCTCATTATCGAAGACAATGACGTAGAATGCTTCCCTATGGCAAGGATCAAGGTCTGCTTAGACTCAGTCACAATATCTAGTACACAGATCCTATTGGTAGGTGAGACAGGCAGAATGAGAACATTCTGTGGTCCAACCTGTTGCCTCTGACTAGCCAAAAATGCAATAGAGAAGAGGGGGTGAGGTCTCTTGAAGCCAGATGCTCTTTACTATTGAGAATTACCGAATGGCTAGCGGGGATGTTTTGTGCAAATTAGAGATAATTATAGAGTTTTTACAAGAAGAAGAAAACTTGAACTCATAGTTACTGTCTGCTTTAATAAAGTTATGACTCAACTTGTTCTCTTAAACAAACAAACAAACGGAAACTCACTCTTACTTTGAGGGAAACAGGTAGTCTAGATATTAGACAGTTAAGAATAAAAAAGGATTGATTATAGTTTGGCTGTGAACAGGGTACTAGGAACCAGGAAGTAGTTGGGACAGGAACTTACATTTTTGTCTTAAATTTTTATTTCTAATGAGTTTTGTATTATTTTCGCAACTGGACCTTTAAATAGTTGTATCAGCTGTTACCTCTTTAGATACCTGGATTAACGCACAAGTAGGGAATTTATAATGCTCTGTGTCAGTAACAAGCACTCCTCTTCAGCCTATACCTTCTGTGCAGTGCAGATAAGTGATTCCTGGTGTATGTGGCTCTCTGGGAGGCAGACTCTGACATGCCTTTTTCCTTTTTCCCCCCTTTAATATAACAGCTTTATTGATATAAAATTCACATACCAGACAATTCAGCCCCTTAAAGTATAAGATTAATGATTTTTCACATATACACAGAGTTGTATAACCATCACCACAATCAATTTTAGAATGTTTTCATGACCTTCAAAAGAAACCCTGTACCCATTAGCAGTTACTTCCCATTTCCTCCCAATATTCCTAGCCCCTGGCATCTATGAATCTATTTTCTGTCTCTATAGTTTTGTCTATTCTGGACATTTTATTTAAATAAAGTCATATAATATGTGGCCTTTTGTCATTGGCTTCTTTCATTTGACATAATGATCCAAGGTTCGTCCGTGTTGTAGCATGTATCAAAATGTTATTCCTTTTTAAGGCTGAATAATATTCCATCGTATGGATGTCCCATATTTTGCTTATTGGTTCATCAGTCAATAGGCATTTGGGTTGTTTCCACTTTTTTGGCTATTATAAATAATGCTATGAACATTTATTTGCAAGTTTTTGTGTAGACATATGTTTTCAGTTTTCTCAGGTATACACCTTGGGGTAGAATTTGGGGAATTGCTGGGTCATATGGTAACCATGTGGTTTAACCTTTTGAGGATCAGCTAAACTGTTTTCCAAAGGGTCTGAAACATTTTATCACCATCACTATCAATGTCTGCATGTTCCAGTATCTCCTGGCCTGCCTACATAGGGCAACGCAATAAGTGTATTCCCTGCTAACTTCAAAAAGAAATGAAGTATGAGAAAATACTCCAACTATTAAAATTTCCAGCTGGGCTCGGTGGCTCAGCCTGTAATCCCGCGCCTTGAGAGGCTGAGGTGAGTTAATTGCCTGAGCCCGCGGGTTCGAGACCCGCCTGGGCAACTTGGTGAGCCCTCATCTCTACAATAAATCAAAAAAATTAGCCAGGTGTGGTAGTGCGTGCCTGTAGTTCCAGCTACTTGGAAGGCTGAGGCGGAAGAATCACTGGAGTCCAGCAGGTCGAGGCTGCAGTGGCCGGGAGCAGCCACTGCACTCCAGTCTGGGTGACAGAGTGAGACTCCAACTCAAAAAAACAAACAAACAAAAATTCCACCAATCTCCTACACAGTGCCCTGGGATCATTAAAGTTTCTATTTCAATGATGTTCCTTTTGGTAATGAATTTCCTTAATATGCCCTGCATTATATTTCAAATCGTTCCAGAACATTATTGGCAATAGTGTTTTCGACTGTCATACTTCATTTACATTGATCTTAAAAACAGAAAAAAATAGAGAGGAGGAATCCTGAAGCATTTATCTGTAATGGCATGTCTTCAGGTCTGCCCCATCCATTAGGGAATACAGAGTAGCACTCAGCAAAAAGATAATCAGCCAAAAATATAGATTGAGCAGTAATGGTTTTTTTCTGATGCCCAAGTAAATATTCTGATCTCAGTCTGTCATTCACATAACAACCCTGTATTTAATTACAGATTACTTTTCAAATTAGGTAATGTTAACTTCAGTGCTTGTAGATCCAAGATGATATGTTATATCCATACATCAAATGTTGCAGTGGCACTTATTAAAATAAAATAAAATTTTTTATTATTTTAAAAGGCTTAAAGTCTTAGCTAAATTAAAAAATAGAAGTATTTCTTATATTAGACCAAAGGCCTCTTAGCTAAATTGAAAAATAGAAGTATTTCTTATATTAGACCAAATGACACAGTTTATTATTATTATAATCATTGAAAGTCTAAAGTACGTTGAAAGTCTAAAGTAAGTATACAGGATCATTCTACTTAAAGCTTCACGATTAACAAATTTGTAATTAGTTTGCCATTGTAAATCTCCGAAAGGGAAGCAAAGTTCTTTCTCTAAGCCTACAATGGTGGCTCTGATAATACCGTGTAATACATGACCCTCAAGGGCCTGGTGAGAGTCACTTTGTACTAACAAACTCAAATCAAATAGAAGACAACAGGGAACTTTACAAACAGATTGCTCCATCAACAAAGGTTGGAATGCACAAAGATCCTCCCTACCCAATCAAATCTCTATGCAAATAAAGACAAGGCTTGAGAACTACTTAGCTACCACCATTCATTAGCATAAAAACTTAGCAGCTGTTTACCATTTCATTAGCATTTTAATGACAGACAATTTGCCATGTTAAACACAGATTGTTTTAAAGTACTGGTAGATCTTCTGAATAAATATAAACTATGCTTTCATCAATCCTTCACCTCAACCTTGCTGTTTTCACTTTTAAAACCTGCTTTTTAACACTGCTTCACCATGACAGATTACTTCAAAGGAACTTTTTGCAAACAGGAAATAAATGGAAATAAACTGCATTTTTTTTGCACAAGTTATTTCATGCTTTGAATGCTCTGTCATCTGAGAGAAAAAAAAGGTTGAAAATATAATGAGTAAGCATTTTAATGCAAAGTGTAGTATAATATACCCTTGCATATTACTTTACTCATGGGTCAGAGCCTACAATTGACTTTTTTTTGAGTCGTGGTCCCATTCTGTGTTCACGGGTCTGGCGCATATTGTCACGTATGTGCATGCTCTACAAGTGGTTGTGCCTTTGTGTAGTTACTATATGGTACTGTATAGCATACAGTAGTACAGTATCTTTATTTGAAGCTCAGGATGTCCAGAAGCAAGCATAAAAGCAGTGGTGATGTATAGCTGTATTGCTGATTGTGTTAGTTGGGTACCTAGGCTAACTTTGCCAGACTTACAAATTGGACTAACAAATGCGCTTTTGGAATGGAACTCATTCATATGTAGGGAACTTACTGTAATATGTAAAAGGCAATTCCCCACTATGATCATTTAAAAAACCATTATCTCAGCCAACTACCTCTGTAACATAATAGGTGCCTTATTATGTTAATGTTATATTGCAATATGCCACAATAAAAACCTTACTTGGGGGCCAGGTGACACTTGAAGTTATTGCCTTAGTCTTTAGCCTTTAGAAATATGATCTTGAAGGCCCATTGAGGATATAATTTTAAGCCTTCCTAGTGACTCTTATTTACATACCATAACAAAAACAAATCACTTAATTCTTCAAAAGGAGAGTACACCAAGTCACCAAATACGCATGAAGAAACATTGGAGAATAAGATCAAATCTATCTGTATTCTAGATGCTGCAGGAGGAGTTTCTTAGGCTGTTCTATGTACATCCTCTTCAGTGAGTACCAAAATAAGAAAGTTAACACGTTATAAACACATATCTGGGGAGGCAATGTCAACTATTGAACTTCCAAAGTTTTCTTCAAAGAAATTAAAATGAGTGATATTTCAGATTTTCTGCCAAACTCATCATTTTCTCTCTTTATTGCCTTCCCAGTGTTGTAGTCCCTTATCCTGTGTATCTTTCTCTTTCCCAGGATAATGACCATCACAGCAGCATCTCCCCACTTCTCTCAGCATTTCCATTCTCCCATCAGCCTCTATCTAACCATATCACAATCTGTACATGGAGAGGCCAGGATTCAAATTCAGGCAATTTGACTTCTAACTTTGCTTTTCACCACAATAATTGTACATCTGGAAACATTCCACTTATATAGACACATTCTCCAGTTGTAGACAGAAGCATTTTACCATCAAACTAAGAGATTTTAAATGCCAGATCTCCAAACAGGTATAGTATACAGATGAGAATTAGTTGAAATTTTTATTTGACCTTAGCATCTGATACTGAAACAACTAAAATATATAGTAAGATTTGTGACCCTCCATAAGTCCTGCTTCTAGAATATATTTATCTAAAATTAATCTTTCCCAAATAATATTATTTAAAGCAACAAATACTTAGGAAAGACCAATAAGGCAGAGTACTAACAACTACAGAAATTACAAACTGAGTTACATAGAATTTACATAGAATTTATTTTACTTTCTAAAGAGAAGAAAATGATAACAACTGCCACCACTTAAAAATATTTTACTCTGTGCCAGGTACTGTTCTAGGTGATTTGTTTCCCTTATTTGTATTGACTTATAACACAACTTTTAAAGATTTATATTATTAGTCTCATTTTACAGATGAGAAGGGTGATGCTTAGAGATTAAGACTATTTA